AGCAGGAATTAATGGGAGCTGTGAAGTTAGTACTGCCTGCGGAGTTGTGCTCATTCAGGGGTAATGAAACCCTTTTATAAGCCCCACTTAAATAAAATGCCTCCAGAAAGGTTTTATGCATTTAAAGTTCATGTGTTTAGATGTAATTTGACATGCATGCAAAGAGTGGATGATGGGTGTTGCTTATTTGCAAGTTTTCAGTGAGTTTTCAGTGTGGCATCCCTGTTGATTTCAGCTTGCCCAGCTGCTGGCAGAACTGAATTCCATACCCGACCTGTTCCCAGTGAAAACTCCCACCTCGACTCCTTCGGTAAGTCTCTGGCCCTGGCTAGATGTGACAGTTGTTTTGGTAGACTTAGGACTAATCTGCTTCCTGATGAAAAACTTTTGCCAAGTTGTTTGTTTGTTTGGTTGGTTTTCCTCCAAGTTTTGGTCACTTTATTTGTATAGATTTTGCTATTGGTCAGTATTTAAGTACCAGAGGTTGTGTGAGGAAATGGCATTTTGTAAGATAATTTATGGAGAAATACAGAGACTGCTTCTCTATCATTTGTGCCTCAGAAACTATTGAGAGACTAGACAAATGTCTTGTGTGTGGGAATAAGGAAGAATAGTTGCTTTCTGTTGGGTTTAGATCCTGTTAAGTTCCCTCTTGCAGGCTTTTCTTTTGAAATCCACCCTTCCCAACAGAGCTGTGCTGATGAAATTCAACTGCTTCAACATGAACTCAGAATGATACTTTAGTTACTTTAACTGACTTTTCTTGGCTAGAAGCAAAGAACTGTCAACCCCTCTAGGCTCTCTATAGAGTAATGTTTTTCCACATCTGTTATAAACTGAAGAGATTTGAGGAAAAATGGAAAGGCTGTGACTTTGGGAAGCCCACATAGAAATGCCGGCGTGGTGGTTGTCAAGTGAAAAGGTGAAAGCTGAACTACAGAGCCTTTTGAAAGGCTGGAACCTTGCTAGTTCTACATAAATGCTGTAGAATCTTAAACATCCTTTGAATATATACGTAAGCCTGCTACTTCCATTTTGTATCTTTACCTGAACAAGGAGGAGCACTAGTTAGGAGTGTTCTAGTTACCTCATCTGCTTGGTTTTTGTCTTCCTGGTTTCCTGGTAATGTGCCTTTGACTTCTTTCAACAGAAATAAAGTGTATGGTAGCAGGTAGACTTGCTTCCTGCATCTTGTTTATACTGTCAGATTTAGTAGCTGCCTTTATGATAGATGTCCACGCAGGACTTGCCTGAATTCAGTCACACAGTAAGTGGCTGGTGTGACAATGTGAAGAGGGTATCATGTGCCTTCGAGTAATTTCCAGGTCTTAAGAATCTGGAAGTAGGAGAAACAGCATTTTAATGCCCATTCAATTTTAAAAATATAAAAGAAAATAACCCATAATTTGGGTTATTCCTTGAAGGTATATTCAGATTGTGGGAAAATCTGAACATTTAGATCTGAAGAACAGCTTCATTAAGGTTGGAGAAGACTGCTATGATCATCAAGTCCAACCATCAGCCCAACGCTGCTATGACCACTAAACCATGTCATAGTATGCCATGCATAAAATTTTGGTGTAGTTCTGTGATAGTAATTGGAATAGAATTTGACTGTGAAGGTGTGGTGTTTTAGAAGGAGCAGAAGGGTAAAGTGTGTAGGGAGAACACTTAAGAATGCTAGAAATTGATGAGGTTTGGCTTAACAAATAAGGAGTGGGAGAAGAATGGTAATTTGTGATAGTGCAAGTGTGGTACAGACATTTTCAGATTATTTCTGATGTTTAGTACTACAAACATAACTGAAAGGACAGTTACTGGAATCATATTCTTTTTCTAGAAACAGAAGAAAATCCCAAGGAGGACATTTTCTGAAGGCCAGATAGCACGTCGCATGAACCCGACAAGAAATGCTCGTCCACCAGAAAAATTTGCCTTGGAAAAATTCACTGTGTCAACTGTCAAATTTGCAGAACGCTTCTGTAGCTATAGGCAACAAAATCTCTTGAAGAGATTCCATATGGTATTTGCCAGACTTTGATATCTTCAGTAGTCAGGGATTAGGAAACATATAAATTGTTAGCCAGCATTTAGAGCAGACATCACATCCTACGAAAGTTAATGAGAACCTTTGGTTGGGATTAGCTGCAGCAGAACGTATCTCCAGGCCATCTTGCCTCATCCTTGACCTGTTAACAGGGCTATATTTGTGACCTGTGTAGGCCAGACATAACAAGGCAGCTTACTTGTGGTCTATTATTTATTCATTATCCCAAAATTGCTAGAACCTGCAATGTAGAAGGCCTTCGAGTGGCAAGACAGTGGGGTGGGTAGAGGTGGCAAAGCAGATTTCTATCTTCAGGCTTAGAAAAAAAAATTAGTAAAAGCCCTTCTCTGGAAATAGCAGAGGGGAGACAGGAGCTAGATAGCTGACCTGAGAATGAATGAATGAAGGGAATCTGCACCAACAAACTGCTGATGTACTGGTGAGCCATTCAAAAGTTGCAGGTTTTAGTCTTCCTCACTTTTTAAAAATCTTTTTTTTCCCTGCCTTTGTTTATGGTGGTCATTTGCCTTAGTTACGTTCATTGTGTAGCCTTTATGAAAAAGACTCTTTTAAGTTTGTATCTGCACAGGGTGGATCCCAGTTCTGCTTGCAGGAATGGGTGCTGGGTGTAGCTGAAGTGTTATAGAGGGAACATGGTTATTAAATGAAGTGGAGTAGCACTGAGTAGGAACCTGGACTGGTAAATGACTATTTTTGAGAGAACAGAGCTGAAGGACAAATGAGATGTCAGGAGTGGGGCTGAGGGAAGGTTGAGGATCAGATGAGACTTTTACATGACTAGGGGTCAAAGAGAATCATGTTTGGAAGGAAAAAAAAAAGAGCTCTTAATAGTGACTGGAGGACTGTCTTTCAAATAACAAACAGGATAATAAGAAAGGGCTGGATACGGCAGGCCTAACCTAAAACTGCAGTAGAGGCTTTTTGCAGGACATTAGAGATTGTCGTTGGGGAAAGCAATTAGAGAGTGTGCTAGGAGACTGAAGGAGCAAAGCATGAGAAGGCAGATGATTATAGTTCCTTGTTTTGAGAGGGAAGAAATGAAGAATTACAGTGGTGGTGTGCAGGGAAGGCAAAGAAAAGGAGGCAGCAGAAAAACACGGGAGTGGAGAACAATGGTGGGAAGACAGAACATATAAGCAGAATAAAAAATAAGCGGAATAGAGAAAAGATTAGGGAGGAGAGGGAGAGGAAGAGGTAGTGATGAGTTGCAGACTATTCCCTGGAGCCTGTAGTCTGTCTCCTCTAGACTGCATACACATTATAAATGAAAGACTTTGTCACCAGGTGTGGTGACAGTCTTCGTGGCACCAGACAAAAGATGTTCAGATGAGTTTGTTTAGCAGGGGGATTGTGGAGTGCGGAAAAGGAGGAGATCATCGAAGTATTCATCTCACCGTCGAGTAGAGGACATTACTGAGGAGGACTTGGACAACATTGCGATCACTGTCAAAGACAAAATCTATGACAAAGTTCTAGTAAGTGGCTGCTGTATTCCTCAGTGTGTCCATGTGCTTGAAATGGGAAGTCTTCTACTAGTTCCCTGGTGCTTGGTAAGAGGTATGCTCTCCTGGGCTTCTGGAGAGTGCAGCTCGGCAGCCTTACGTTACACAAGCACGACTCAGAAAGCTTTGCCAGGCTTCTGGGGCTTGCCTGTGCTGGTTGTTACGCCCCACCTACTTTTTGCCTCCGCAAAGAAGTGCGTTCTGCCATGGGGCTATTCAGTGGAATTTGCCATAGCTATGACTCACCGGTGATAAGAGCTGCCATCCCTTTTATCTTGCTTAATAGAAATGTTGTGATGGTGGCTGTACCATTAAATAATAGCAATTCCTGTTGCCCCTTGTGCCCCCTGGAAATGACATGTCTGTATGGGTTGGGTAGTTCCAAAGCTTGCTGGAACTCTTTCCTTTCTTTCATTGGATTTGGCTATTAATGTCATAAAGATTTAGATGATCAGCTTACTATATGTTTCATGCTTCATGCTTGTATTTGCACAGGTGAGTCACAAGGTTGTTTCCTGACTAGTTTTAGCTTTTTTTCTAGGTAGAGGGAAGGATCAGAACTGTGACATCAGGCTCATGTAGTTTGAGACTCCCAGTGCAACTGAGGCTGGGTACTATCTGCAAAATTCTTAGCATCTCTCCAGATTATGTATGATTTATCATAACAACAGAACTTACAGTTCTTACTAAGGTTTTTCACTGATGAATTTGAGTTTGAAGTTTGTGCTTTGCTATCATCTAACACATTAGGAGAGTTCAGCAACAAGCATTTAAAATGTCCTTCATACAACGTGTCTCCTCTTTTCCAACTTTAGGGTAGTACTTGCCACCAGTGTCGACAAAAGACAATTGATACAAAGACAATCTGTCGCAACCAGGGCTGTGGAGGGGTCCGGGGGCAGTTCTGTGGACCGTGTCTCCGCAACCGATATGGGGAAGACGTGAAATCAGCACTGCTGGATCCAGTAAGTATCATTTCTTGGGCTTGGAAAGGAAGGGCAATGAATTCAGTTTTGCTAGTAAACTGTGAGTATATATGCTTGTGATAACACAGTGCTCAAAGCTATTTGCCATGAGGAGATCTGTAATGCTGTTGTGACTGATACTGATCTTGTTGGAATTCTCGTGGAAGGTGCTGGTCCTGGGTTAAAATCCACCCATCTTTGTGCTTTGAAGCTCCACTTGCTTACAAGATAGTGGAGGGAAAGGCTGAGAGCCTTTAAGAAAAGGCATCTGTCCCCTTTCAGAAAAATACCAAAACATACCCTTTTCTTAGTGCTCTCCATAACGTAGCGTGCAAAGTAGGTTCCTTGCTTTAGATTCTAATTTTTCAATAGGAGAGAAAAGGAGAAGGATACCTAAAAGTCTTAGGGTTGGTTCCCTTTTCTCTGTTGTCTCCTGTGGCACTGATCAAGGAGAGGACACAAGCTGCTGCCAGAGAATGAGGCACGTGTGTACACAAAGACCTGTTGGCAGAATACCACTCTGTTCTCAGCTTGATCTGGGACCTCATATTCCCCACCACTGCTGTAGAGATGGCCTTCCGGGCTGTTCTGAACTAACAGCTCTGATGGGCTGGCCCAGTGTGGCAATGGCTGTTACACTGCAACCTGTACGTGAGTGTTCAGTTGCTGAGCAGCTGGGAGGTGCCAGACTTGATGTGCCTGCTGGGTAATTCAGTCCCAGGAACTGTGCTCTGCCAGCAGGCAGAGCCAAAGCAACTTGTCACAGTGGGTCCCTGTCTTTTTTCTAGGGAGTTAAGTAGCGTCAGCCTAGCGCAGGACGAGCTATCGTTATCCGTGACAGCTGCCTTTAGGCTACTTGAAAACTAATAGTGAGCACATCAGAGAACCTGAGTCTTCAGAGTAAGAAGTATTCAAGCAAACAGTGTAGTACTTAATAATTTCTTTAGTCCTGCAGAATTTGGGAAGTGTGATTGAGGTTGGTTGGCTGGCTGATGCAGGCTTTTAAAACCTTGCCCTGGACAATGATGCAGTAGGGAAACCTGAGCGATGGGAAGGCAAATTGGGCCCCCCTCGTGGCTTGCCTTCACCTCCCTCATCCCGCTTCCTCCTCGCAGGCCTGGATCTGTCCTCCTTGTCGGGGGGTGTGCAACTGCAGCTACTGCCGCCGGCAGGACGGGCGCTGTGCCACGGGCATGCTCATCCACCTGGCCAAGTTCTACGGCTACAACAACGTCAAGGAGTACCTGGAAAGGTGAGGGCCAGGCCTTCTGCGTTGTCAGTGGTCATCCTTTTTTCAGCTCCTGTGGCTCTTTGGATAATACTTGACTTCTGTGGCCTGGGGCAGATCCCGGACCTATGCAAAAGTCTCTTGGACTTCACATTTCTCCTAGAGTGAGACCTGCTCCACTGAACTCAGTCATATTGTCTGTGTAAACAACTCAATTCGCTTAAGAAATTGAAATGCTTTCGCCTATTTTGAAATCTATTGATAGCTTGAAGCGTATAGAAGGGCATTTTTTGAAGTTACTATCTTCAGCAATGGAAATTCTCTGTTTATAGAGAAAACCCGAGTTTCCTAAAAAGCACTGACACTGTTTTCTTACATGTTTTCTAGTTTACAGAAACAACTGGTGGATGACAATTGAGAACCCTTGCACTCAAGCTGTGCCTGCAACTGGTTAATATGTTGACAAATTTTTTACTTCAAAAGGTTATTACTGTGTTTTATATAAGATTATAGATTTGTAGAGTATAGTATACGCATTCGGTGTTGGAAACTTCTTGATTGATGTGGTCTTATGCAAAAGATCTCTCAGGAAAATGTTTTGGTAGAGAAATCTACCTGCACAGACCTGTACTTTAAGTGAAATGGCACTCTTAGTCCTTGAGTGGTTAATTTTTAATACAGCTACACAACCACACAATGGAGAACTCGGTCAATTAGAGCAATATTTTTATTTATGTAATTGTGTAAATTTGCAGAAGGGGTGTTTAACTACCTGCAAAGGATACTTTGTCTTTAAAGTAACAAAAAACCTCTTGTGTTCCAACGTGACCATAAAGATTCAGTTTTCCAGCCCTTGCTTCCTGAACCTATTCCTCCACCCATAGTTTATGGAACTTGTCCCTGCAGAGAAGGAAATGGTGCTTTCATCTGAATGCCATTGTATTCCAGCCAAAGCTGATGCAACCTACCCTGAGAGAATGACTGTGTTTTATTCCAAAGTGCAATTAATCACTGAAACATGAAAGTGGAAGAGTGTTTTAAAAAAAAAAAAAAAAAAAAAAAATTAAAAAAAAATTTTAAAAGTGTTAAGTATCACCCCAGTAAAGCAAAAGGATTGCTCACCAGCAGTTTGTGTGTGATGCACCTGGTGCCTGAACCAGGTACCTTACAGCAGTCATAACTGGGTAACTGGTTTAAATCACAAAGTTCAGGTTTTATTTTTTTACCTACAGTTCATATTTAGATGTTTTTGTATGTATGACTGATTCTTCAAAAAACTTTGTTTAAATGCAACATGTTTGTATTGCAGTGTGGTTATGTTAAAGTTCTTGTAAGATACACATTTCTTTTTATGTAGAGAGAATAAAGAATAATCAAGAGGAGAATTTTGTGACTCCACCCAGATGCTGTTTCCCATTTACCTTCCTGTGGTTGGTGTAGTGAAGGAACACTTGCAGATCAATGATCATATTGAGAAACACAGGAACATAGCACTGACAGATGAGGAAATAACATGGAGCACATAAGTGTTTTGTGAGGCAGATCTCCTGCTCCAGGTGACTGTGAAAAATATTTATCATCTTTTGCTTTAGCTAAAGGCAGCTTGAGACAGCAGACACACTGCTGAAAGTCTGGTACTGCACTGCTGAGAGTGAAGCTGGTCCTGCCAGAACCCGTGTTGCTGGCTTCTCCTCGCGGGTCACAGTGAAACTCCAACATAAGCTTGCCCTTGGCTCTTGGGTTTATAGACTGGGCAGTCATAAACGTACTTTGTTTCCCTTTGATCCACTGGAATAGCTCTTAGAAACCGACGACTGGCATTGCTGAAGTCAATTCCTTGAGCTGGGCTTCAGCTCCAATCCCCAGCTGGATATCCCACCTGGTGCCTGCAATAAAAGCAGGCACATGGTTTACGTGGTGTTCTGTAGTGCGGGACCGGAAGAATTTGGGTTTAAACAGTTGCATACTGCTAAATACTTAGTTACATTTGAAGGTACAAATTTAGTGCAGACTGCTGTTGGCCTGGTGTGCGTCATCTCTTCGTATGAATGTGGAGGTGAGTACGTGGCAGCTGCCTGGACTGGAAACTACTTACATTTGGGACTTTGAGTATGCCTGTGACTAAGTGTGCCTGTCAAAGTCAAGTGCTCAGATTTTCTCCTAATCCCTCACTAGTTTATGGTCAATATTCTAACAGGTGGAGAACTACACTGGAGTATTTAGCACACGTTGGTACAGTGAGGTACCAAGCAGGGTAGTTAAGACAGATGAGTTCTGTGCTGCCAAAGGCCCACATGCTTTCTGAAAGCTGCCGGATTGGTTCAGTTTGTTGTGTTCTTCTAACATAAACTAGCATACAAAGTATTGCTGATGCATGTTGTAGATTTTAGGAGCATTTATGTACCAATAGTAAAGTTTATGTTTGCAGATGCCAACAGAAGTCCAGAAATTACAGCTCATAAGGATCCTTGGTACCTTCATTATATCCAGAGGAAGAATGAGCAGTATTGCCCCTTGAGTGACAGAAGTTTTGCAAAAATCCTGAAAAACTTAGGCTACTATTTCAAAAAGCAACAGTCAAATGACATGCTCATCATTGCTTCAGTACCCCATTCTGACTTGGCCCTTGGGGCTTACCTGCTGTAGTAACAACTCCCTTCCAAAAGAGTTACTTACCTTTGATTATATTCAGGTCTGGTGCAGAGTACCAGTAATGATGATGTTTCTCTAATTGCCTGTTGGAGTTGCTCACCTTTCTACTGATTTGCTGTAATGTATTTAACAGCTTTTCTAAGTTAAAACTAAAAATCTCATTTTGACTGCAGGCCTTAATTATCATGCCTAAATCATCTTTCACTATCAAGAAAATACAGTTCTAAAAGAGCAAGGTACTCCAACTATGAACACGATTTCCATTCAGGGACAGCCTACAATGATGTTACAGCTACTGCAATAATTGACTGCTTGGAAACCCAGATGAAAAAATCTACTCTTGTCATCCTGACACCCATGTAGGTGTGTCGTTATCCTTCAGGCTAATACAGGGGTTCTCAAGTATTTCGTTCCTTCTTGGTATCACTGCCCAACAGCCCAGCCCAGCAAATGAAGAATTCAGATTTCTTTAGAACTGACAACTTTCTGCAAAGGTGGAAGAAAAAACAGGAGAAAGATGACTGTGAAAACAGGGTGTTTGGTGGTTTTGTTTCGTTTTGGTTGGTTGTTTTGTTTGGTGGTTGCTGTTAACTGCAACAGTGTAGATGGCTTGATCCAGGTTACCAACATCTGGTAATTCCTAACCCTATTCTGCACCTGTAAGAGCTGCAGATTTCTTGGTGATCAGTTCAGGGTGAAACTCAATGTCTCTGGAATAGCTTCTGAACCTCAACTAGATAAGAGTTGCTGCTTTACTGCAATGCCAACCTTGCTCAGAGTCAGTTAACAGTTATTTACTGCATGAAGTATAGTCAGTGATGGGGACACCAAGCTGGTATGAAGTTTAAAGTCACAGTGGAATATAACAAGAATCCACCACCCTTCCTAAACTTCCTTGGTGCAGATCATATGACCACAGCACTTCAGTACAACTCCTGCTGGAACTTACCTACCTAATAAAGGCAGCTAGAGTCCCTGAACTAGGTGACTTTGGACGAGGCAATTTAAGTTTCTTGCCTTCCATGAAATGCCCACAGATGCAGGACCCTTTCCTTGGCTGGTGCTCATGGTAACATCTGCAGTCAAGCACACCTTATGCAAAGGCCAGTTGTTCATGCATGCCATGCTCTGCAGTACAGCTTTAAAAAATACTTTCAATAATTCAATACCCAGATAGTAATTGTAATGTCAGAATTGTTAATATGCTCCTCTTCGGCCTGAGACTGACTTTTTTTTTTTCTTTTTCCCCTTGGGCTGTTGTTTGAAGTAAGGCAAAAATGCTGCACAAATGCAGTTGGTTGGAAGAAAACATTCTACACAGTACAGAACAAACCAATTCCCCCCTCCCCTGTTCCCAGCAGGGGAGCAGGACTGCACTCAGAGATGTGGCTCCTCTCCTGCCAAGTCCGCCTTCAGAACAAGCCCAGGCCAAAATCTATTTTAGCCTGTATGGGCCTTATGTTTCCCCCAGCCCTTCATAGGAACCAGTGTCTGGAAGAGAAATCTGTGAGAGAGGCAGTCAAAGGAGTGAAAAATACAGTGGGGATTTCTCTTTTGTGCCTGTGGCACAAAATGAGCACCATTTGGGGACCTCGACGTGAGCAGCAGAGGGAAGAGGAGTTGCCTGCCAGCCCTCAGGCTGCCACCCCCTTCTCCTTCCAAGTGCAGGGAGCAGCACTCCAGTGTCTGGGCTGCAAACATTCCCTGGGCTCCCCCTGCCCATATCCTGCAGTGATGGCTCCTGCAGGGAGCGATAGTGGCCCAGCCAAAGTGTCCTGTGAGGAGCTCCTGGACACCCTTCCGCTAGCCTAGTGAAGGATCTCAGTGCCACTGGTGGCCATGCAGAATTTGAGAACCACTGTTAGTGGGCGCTCATGTGGCTTCACTGTGGTCTTGAGAGTAAATGCATGCACACATGCTGTCATCATGGCAAGAAGTGAGACATCAGTAGGCTGCTGAAGATTTTTCATCTCTTACTGTGACAACCATACAAAGAGGACTAGGAGACTGATATTTCTTTTCTACTTAGCCTGGTAACTGTGTTAATATGAAGGAATAAACCAGAATGGTACAATGATATAGTCACTGAACTGGTAAATAACAGCAGGAAAATTTGTACTCAATCTTTTGTCTTCATGTGGCCTAAAGGTGAGTTTGGATAGTTCACCCTGCTTTCAGGAGATGCTTATTCTGGTATTTGACTGATTTTTATTTTTTTTATTTAAACTGTACATAATCTTCCAAAGAGCATCACAAACATGGCTACCACCAATGGTGAAAAATAAATGTCTGGCAGTTAAAACCTATGTCTGCTTCCTTACAACCATCACTGCTTACCTGTCAGAGAGGACTCAGGATTGAACAAACCAGAAAGCCATGTCACTGCTGTCAGCACAAGGTCCAGATGTCAGGTTCTCCATACTGCATGAGAAGATCAGTAACCCTACAAGAAAAACAGCAATAGCTTCTGCCTTAATCCATATGTACTACTTTTTAGCTAAAATAAATTGCAGACTTCAAGTGTAAGAATCCTTTTGTCTACAGAGAAAGTACATGGCTGAGGTAACCAGAAAGTATATACTTAAGTAAGTGTCAGGTCATGGTTTTAGTAGAATTTGCACTTTCCCTGATGTAGGTATGTCCCAAATCAAATGTAGAGGGTGATCAGCATGAGACGGGTCACTGGCAACAGAGAATATGACTATGCTTAATCCTGTAAAACTTGTCTGGGGGAGAAACCTGAACATCACCCTTAGTCATGCTGACACACCCTCAGAAACTGCCAAAAATTAGTAACAACAGTTGCTGGCTTCTTAAATGCAAATTTTTGATACCATCGTCAGTGGTGCACTTAAACTTCCAATAAGCCAGAGCAAAGTGGAAATCAGAAGCACAAGAGAGTCTGATGGAGATGCTGAATAACGGCAAACTGCAGCACACATTGGCATGAGATATCAGAGGAATTTTTGAAAACCCTACCTTTTTTAGCTATAGCCACCTCAAGTGGATATTGCTGGTGGCAGCGTAGGGGAAACG